AAAAAAGACAGCTGCACTTAGACTTGCTCTTTGAGAAGCTCAGGACTGTGCTTGATGCAGAGGCACAGTCAGTAAACTCGAAACTTGGCTGTGCTGAGCATAGGTGTGATTTCCTCAGAAAGCCTTGGCTGATTTCAGTCACAGTTGTGTGCCACAGGAAATGAGTATGTCACAGTACTTTGGTGTAAGTGCTTTCACATTCAAACATTTGTGCATGGAAATGAGAGTTTTCAAAAGCAACTTAGATCTCGCATTCAGTAGGCTTAATTTTCTTCAATAGAAGTGTAATGTAGACTGTACTGAGGGCAGGAGGGGAAGAAACTTAGTGTAAGTGTTAGCAAAATACATGGTTGCTTTGAAAAGAGGAGGAATAAAATGTGCTAGGTTGCAGCTCTTCAGAAGAAACTGATTTGGTTTGGATAGTTCTCAGTGATGTTTTCAATAAAACCTTCAGTGCAGTGTTTCTTCAGCATGGAGGGGGAAGAGGTAGCTTCTATAATTATAATCTATAACCTCTTCTGGTACATGAGCATATCTGTCTATGCTGTGGAACGGAAAAGGAATATCAATCAGATTATTTTAGAAGGCTGTAGCTTGCAGCAGTCCTTTATGAACAGTGTTGTGTTTCTAAACTGGCTGCAGCTGATTCAGAATTTCACAGTAAGTGTCTGATAGTGCCGTGAATAGTATTTCGAAATGTCTAGCAGACTTTAACCTTTAATAAGGGAAGCATCAAAAATACTGCTGAATGTTTAACCTAAATTGAAAAAAAAAAAACCTGTTCTGGAGTGTATTTTCAAGGCAGTATTTATAAGTGGAGAGGAGTGGTTGGAATATAGGTGAGGATGGTGGTCACAGTGGGGTGAGTCTGTCACTTTGACAGCTGTAGAACTGTTTTCATGGTGGTGGGAAAGGTGCAGCTCTAAGTGTCACAGACTGCTTAAAAAAATTCACCAAGGTACTCTTTGTCCAAAAGAAAATATTTTGGAGGTGGTTAAACCAACATAGGTGACTGTGATTACTGCAACTCTTATTTTATAGCTAGAATCTAAAATATACTTAGTACCTGAAAACTGAACTGAACTATTAATAAACCTTATTTAAATGGACACAAGTGAGATAATTATGATGGTGGAAATTTCAGTCATAATTCAGTCAAAGCTGATGGTATAACATACCCTTTTTGCCCATTTTCCTCTTTGTTACACTCTGCATTGTCTTTATTTACATCAATTGTGTAACCTATTCTTAAGCAATAATATATTTAGTGTCATGCTGTAGAATAACATACCTTGTAGTAAGTGGAACCTTCAATATCATTGGCACTACTGATTCTAAATTTGAGGGTTTGAAAAAGCAAGAAGTCTCTCCTAATGGATCAGTATAAATTACATATAAGTAATAAGTAATTTTTCTCCTGCTGCTGCTCCTCAGCTTTCTATGTCCTAATCTTTGTGTGCTAAAGATTTCTTGCTCTAACTTGTTTTTGATGGGAGTTTAAAAAAAACCTTCAGGATTTTTTAGTTTTCTGTATAAATTAAACAGTCAACTCCTTGAGTATTTGGTCTTTGAATTCTAGTTTGCTTGGGCTTTGCTTTTCAAGTAAGGACACTTATGAGTGGTGTTACTACTGAGTAATACTAGGAATAATTTTTAAACATTGAAGAAACAAAGCAGGTTGAAGTGAGATTTAACTTTAACAGTATTGGGAAGTAATTTGTCACTTACACAAGAGAAATAAGTGCTACATCCTTACTTGCTGAAGAATGTTACTTGTGAAAGAAAAATAACTGGAGTGTAACAATTTATAACTTCAAGTGTTCAGATAGCAAAGTGCTGGTGTAGTAATTTGACTGCTATTTCCAATATACAATAGAAATATTTTGAACAATATTCTACCCCCAGAAAAGACAAATACACTGGAAGAATGTGTGCACAGCAGTGCTTGCTCTGATGTTTCAAATGTTAATTCCTGTATTGATTAGCCATTTACACTGACTTGTTTTTTGAGTTTATACATAAGGTATGAGTGGTCTTCAGAATCCTGTTGTATCCAGAAGCAGGACACTATTATAGTTTTGCTACAAACAGATTTTCCTCAAGCAACGAAGCCTGAAGGAGTAGATTAACAAAAAAAAAAAAAATTTTATTGCAATTTGTAAATAGGATTTGAGTGTGGTGATTTGTTTCCAAACAGTATTGAACTTCTGCAAAATTTTGGCTACATTCTTGAAGTATGACTGCTATTTGCAGCACTTGTTTGGGAGCATTTCTATAACCTGAATATGAAATGGAAGGAAAAATCTGAAAGGTGCATCCTTTTCAAGGGCATTCACATCCCAGCCTTGATTCAGTTTCTAAATTGAAAACTTGAGACTTCATTTCTTTTGGAAATGTAAATTTAAAAAAATAAATCCTGACAGAGAAGTGAGTCAATGAACTAGTGACTCCTCTGCACCGTTGGGAGCACCTTGTCAATCTCTATGAATAATACCTTTTTATTATCAATTTTATACCTGTGAGTTAACTGGATAAAACTCTGGTTGACTTGTGCTGCACTGACTCCTGAGGAAAAAAGAAGATGCCGTTTCTACCTGTTCTTTCTTTTTAAACTGTTATTGGAGAGTTTTTGGTGAATTTGATTGTGTTTGGGTTCCTTTCTCCTCCTCCTTTTTTTGTATTGGGCTGAATTTAGTTAAAGCTTATGTACTAAAAAAACAGCTTAAAAAGGAAAGACTTAGCTCAAACAAAAATTTCTAGGAGGATGTCAACCTTTTTGCTATGAAATTTCAGTAAGGCTCTTGGGAACTTGCTGTGGTGGTTTTTTGGGGGGTTTTAGGTTTATAATATAGATGTGTTTATATACACAGCACCTACATATTTTGATATAGTATTTTCTTGTTTTATATTTTGTTCAGCATTTACAGCCGAACAATACCAGCAACATCAACAGCAACTGGCACTAATGCAGAAACAGCAGCTTGCACAAATTCATCAACAGCAAGCAAATAGTAATTCCTCTGCCAACACATCACAGGTGAGGGATTTGTGTGTGCTATGATTTATCCCTCATTGTTTCCCACCAGGGTTCATCTCTAATTGTCAACTGTTGCCATAGAACCTTGAAACTAACCAACAGGAAAGTGGCTTTCGCCTGAATCTACATCATAGCCATTCTGTAAAGTGTTTAGAAGGGACACTGCAGGTGAGTGTGGCAGGCATTGCCTCTGCTCCCTCTTAACAAAAAAAAAAGATGGGTCAGTCAATTAATGAAATTTTCAAAGGCTTAGAAATATGAATTACAGAAATCTCCAGCCATGTCATTATCCTCTTGTCAGTGGGGGATTTTTAGAGCAGGATTTTAGTTAATAATTAAAGCTAACTCCTAAATATGTCCTTCATACAGCTGTGAAAGTGTCTAATATTCATAAATATGTAGTGATTACAGTGGTGACAGACACACGAAAAGGTTCAGAAGTTGTTTGCAATCTGAACCTCCAAGTCTCTGAATTAGGTTCGGAATTTCATGAAACCAAGTGGATCTGTGAAACAGTGTTGTTCCATAGAACTTTGGAAATAAATTTCTTGGTGTTTTGTATAGTTGTGGGGATTATCTTCTTCATTGTTGTAACAGAGCTAAAAGTGCATGGAAAGAAACCACAGTTCAGATTGTAACTAGTTGTACTAAACGCTGACAGTTTGCTCTGAGAGAATGACTGGTCCACAGTTCTGATTTACATGTATTGATTTTTGTTGTACTAGTTTTTATGTAGCTTTAAAGTGGGAAGAGTACTGACTTTTGGAAGCCTCAATCACATATGTTTGCCACCATTGTTCTTTTTAGGCTTTTGTTTCCAAGACACTGGATTCTGTTAGTGCTCAATTTGCTGCTTCAGCTTTGGTTACGTCAGAACAACTGATGGGATTCAAAATGAAGGATGATGTGGTGCTTGGAATTGGGGTGAATGGCATTCTTCAAGCCTCAGGTATGCAGCTGTTGACAGAACTTGATTGCACCTTGATTTTTACAGTGGAGGCATGTCTGTCTGGAGTTGAGTTTTTTCTGAAAAATGAGCTTACTGATTTTTTTATTTTTTT